CCTACCCAAAGCAATCTACAGATTCAATGCAATCCCTATCAAACTACCAATGGCATTTTTCACAGAACTAGAACCAAAAATTTCACAATTTGTATAGAAACACAAAAGACCCCGAATAGCCAAAGCAATTTTGAGAAAGAAAAACAGAACTGGAGGAATCAGGCTCCCTGACTTCAGACTATACTACAAAGCCACAGTAATCAAGAGAGTATGGTACTGGCACAAAAACAGAAATATAGATCAATGGAACAGGATAGAAAGCCCAGAGATAAACCCACGGACATATGGTCACCTTATCTTTGATAAAGGAGGCAAGAATATACAATAGAGAAAAGACAGTCTCTTCAGTAAGTGGTGCTGGGAAAAGTGGACAGCTACATGTAAAAGAATGAAATTAGAACACTCCCTAACGCCACACATGAAAATAAACTCCAAATGGATTAAAGACCTAAATGTAAGGCCAGACACTATAAAACTGTTAGAGGAAAACATAGACATAACACTCCATTATATAAATCAAAGCAAGATCCTTTTTGACCCACCTCCTAGAGAAATGGAAATAAAAACAAAAATAAACAAGTGGGACCTAATGAAACTTAAAAGCTTTTGCACAGCAAAGGAAACCAGAAACAAGACGAAAAGACAACCCTCAGAATGGGAGAAAATATTTGCAAATGAAGCAACTGACAAAGATTAACCTCCAAAATTTACAAGCAGCTCATGCAGCTCAATAACAAAAAAACAAACAACCCAATCCAAAAATGGGCAGAAGACCTATATAGACATTTCTCCAAAGAAGATATACAGATTGCCAACAAACACATGAAAGGATGCTCAAGATCACTAATCATTACAGAAATGCAAATCAAAACTACAATGAGGTATCACCTCACACCGTTCAGAATGGCCATCATCAAAAAAATCTACAAACAATAAGTGCCGGAGAGGGTGTGGAGAAAAGGGAACCCTCTTGCACTGTTGGTGGGAATGTAAATTGATACAGCCACTATGGAGAACAGTACGGAGGTTCCTCAAAAAACTAAAAATTGAATTACCATACGACCCAGCAATCTCACTACTGGGCATATACCCTGAGAAAACCGTAATTCAAAAAGTCATGTACCACAATGTTCACTGCAGCTCTATTTACAATAGCCAGGACATAGAAGCAACCTAAGTGTCCACTGACAGATGAATGGATAAAGAAGATGTGGCACATATATACAATGGAATACTACTCAGTGAAACTGAGTTATCTGTAGTGAGGTGGATGGACCTAGAGACTGTCATACAGAGTGAAGTAAGTCAGAAAAAGAAAAGCAAATAGCATATGCTAACACATATATATGGAATCTAAAAAAAAAATTAAAAATGGTTCTGAGGAACCTAGGGGAAGCACAGGAATAAAGACACAGACATAGAGAATGGACTTGAGGACACAGGGAGGGGGAAGGGGAAGCTGGGATGAAATGAGAGAGTGGCATGGACATACATACACTACCACATGTAAAATAGATAGCTAGTGGGAAGAAGCCGCATAGCACAGGGAGATCAGCTCGGTGCTCTGTGTCCACCTAGAGGGGTAGGATAGGAAGGGTCGGAGGGAGATGCAAGGGAGAGGAGATGTGGGGATATATGCATATATAGCTGATTCACTTTGTTATAAAGCAGAAACTAACACAATATTGTAAAGCAATTATACTCCAATAAAGATGTTAAAAAAAGAATGACTAAAGCAAAATATGGCACAATTTGAATACTACATTCTCAAGTTTGTAAGTAAAAAGGATATCCACAGATACATTTACACATGCTAACAAATGCATTTAAAGTTTAGGGGGAAATTGGAACTATCTTGGAGTAGAATTTAGAAGATGGAGCTGGGGGCAGGTTGATTTTTCATTTTATTTTTGTCTCCTCTTTTTGATTTTTATCATGTGCCATATTTCGTTTACCTTCTTAAATAGGCAAATATGTAAAAGGAAAAACAGATATAACTTTAAATAATGAATTATCTATTATAGATGAAGGGCTCTTTAGGAGTATCAGGATATAGGAAAATTGCATCTGAACTCTTCCAAAACAAAATGTTTTGAACCTGTGGTTATAAAAATCCTCTCTAGAATTATCCTTTACATTTTCAGAGTTCCTTATCATCACTTGCCAAGTGTTCTTCCCAGTAAACTATTAGCAATTCACAGACCAAAAGTAAATAAATAAATATAAATATATTAAATTATATATATATATATATATATATATATATATATAGTGACCTACAAGCAGTGCCAAACAGGAAGGACAGAAGCACTCCTAGAAGCCCCACACTAAATTGTATATCTCTGGCCACAGAACGACACGACTTTAAAATTTTTTTTATTTTATATTGGAATATAGTTGATTAAAAATGTTGTGTTAGTTTCAGGTGTACAGCAAAGTGATTTAATTATACATGTACATATATCTGTTCATTTTCAAATTATTTTCCCATTTAGGTTATTACAGAGTACTGAGCAGAGTTCCCTGTGCTGTACAGCAGGTCCTTGTTGGTTATCTGTTTTAATACAGCTGTGTGTAGGTGTCAATCCCAAACTCCCAATCTATCCCTCCCCCACACGCTTCCGCAGTAGCCATAAATTCATTCTCTAAATCTGTGAGTCTGTTTCTGTTATGGAAATAAATTCATTTGTATCATTTTTTTAGATGCACGCATACGACTTTTCCATTAATTTGTATAGTATCATTGTGAGGAGTAGAGAACGGGAGAACCTTTGAGGTCCACGCTGAACCACCTTGAGATCCACACTTTGAAACTATGTTTTAGATGAGGTAACAACCTCTCCATCTCAGTTTCTTCATTCAGAAAACAGAAGTTATACACTCAGGTTTTTATGAGAGCTATACAAGATTAAAATTTGTTAAGCACATAGTACAGTATCTGGTACATGAAAATCACTTAACAAAGGAAAGTTATTGTCATTGTAATCTCTGTAGAATTACCTCTTTTCTATCAAGTAGACCACACCTTCGCAGCAAGGGCAATATCACTCCCAAAGGCGGAAGACTCATTCTTGGAGGGTGAAAAGCTTAAGTATTGCAATGGTGTGTGGCTCTTCTAAACTCGACCCTACACAACAAAATAGTATTCCTTAGTACTTAATTTCTCTCACTAATAGAAGGCAATAAGGAAAAAAAATAGTTGGGGAAGAATGAAATAGGCTAGTAACTTGCTTAAGAATTATGTATAAATGCTGTTACCAACTTTATAAACTTCAAAGAATAAAATGTTTACATAAATGAAAGTTAATCTCCTGAAGTACAAAGTTAGAGAAATAGTGCCTGTTTCTGTCTACACACCTGAATGATTGCAATTCGTGCACATAGCAATAAGAAACATGAAAGAAAGGGGATCAGCCTCAGGACATAGTTATGTATGTCACTGGATGACAGTGGTGTCTATAAGGAAATTTATATTGGTGGGCCAAATATAAACCACAAATACTTGTGATTAAACCATTGGAAATCTTATTCCAAGCAAGGCAACAAAAAGAGTGTTGCATCACATTTACTACTGTTTGAAGAAGACTGATTGTGTGAAATCAGAAGTAGCCGTAAAATAAATAACTTCTGAGTAGTAGGAGACATAGAACTAATGGAAGAGAAATGTTTCTCTAGTCCTGCCAGAAAAGCCTTTCTTTTAGCTTTCTGCCCCTAAGTAGCAAAACGCCACTGTGAGAGTCCAAAACAATGATGGACGGCTTGACACATGGTGAGGGTCACTGTGTGTGGTTCTCTGTGGCACTCGTCTGCACACTGCCTCTGAGCACCGAGCTGACTGGGCTCCCGTATCTCTTCACGGTTTCTATCTACACCCAGAGTATAAGGCCTAAGGCTACTTCCCCGGCTGCGTACTTGGCAGTGGTGGAAAACTCCAAGCGAGGCACTCAGGGCTTTGGTCTCCAGCTGGTTGAGCAGGTCTTGAAGAGGGAAACAGAAGAAGATAGACAAACAGAGCAATTTTGAAAGAGAACAAAGTTGGAAAATTTTGCACTATCTGGTTTCAAGGCTTATTATGAAGCTACAGTAATCAAGACAGTGTGTTTTGGCATACAAATAGACACACAGATCAATGAAATAAAATAGAGAGTGCAGAAATACTCCCACACATACATGGTTGAATGATTTTCAACAAAAGTCTAGACTTTTCAATTTCAAATTCCAAGTATTTCAATGGGAAAAGAATAGTCTTTTCAACAAAGGGTGATGGAATAAATGGATATCCGTATGAAATAAAATGAACCTTGGCCCTTTCCTGCTACCATATAAAAAAATAACCTTAAATGAGTCAAAAGGACCCAAGATAAGAACTAAAACTGTAAAACTCCCACAAGAAAACAAAGAAAGTCTTATCATTGGGCAGAGATTTCTTAGATAGGACTTGAAAGATATAAACCATACATCTTATAAAATATATGAAAAAAAAAAATAGAACTTTACCATAATTTAAAACTTCTGCTATTTGAAAGTCTCACCAATAAGAAAATTAAAAAGCAAGCTACTGACTGGGAGAAAATATGTGCAAAACATAGATCTGAATACGTTATACCCATAGCGTATAAAGAATTCTTACCACTCCAGGACTGCAAAGACCCAATAGAAAATAAGATTTGAAAAAACACTGTGACATAAAAGACATATGAATGGCAAACATCAATAGTTATTTGGGAAATGCAAATTAAAACCACAGAGATATCACTAAACACAAACTAGAATGGTTAAAATTTAAAAGATGATAACACCAAGTGCAAGCAAGAATACAGAGCAACTGGAATTCTTATACATTGCTGGTGAGGATGTGAAATGGTACAGCTACTTGTGAAAGCGGTTGGCAATTTCTGATAGAGTTAAATATATAATTACCATACATCCTAGCAATCTCACTGCTAGGTGAAATAAAAACCTATGTCCTGTAAAAAGACTTGTACATGAATGTTTATATAATTTACATTCATAATAGCCAAAATCAAGAAATAACTCGTGTCCTTTAATCAGTGAATGGATAACCAAATTGTGGTATATCCATATAATGGCATACCATTCAACAAAGAAGAAAAACAAACTGTTGATTCAAACAACAATATTAATGAATCCCAAAAGCATTTTGCTAAGTGACAGAAGCAGACATCAAAGATTACATATCAGGCTTCCCTGGTGGTGCAGTGGTTAAGAATCCGCCTGCCAATGCAGGGGACACGGGTTCAAGCCCTGGTCCGGGAAGATCCCACATGCCGCGGAGCAACTAAGCCCGTGCGCCACAACTACTGAACCTGTGCTCTGGAGCCCGTGAGCCACAACTACGGAAGTCTGCGCACCTAGAGCCCGTGCTCTGCAACAAGAGAAGCCACCGCAATGAGAAGCCCAGGCACCACAACAAAGAGTAGCCCCTGCTCGCCGCAACTAGAGAAAGCCCGCATGCAGCAACAAAGACCCAATGCAGCCAAAAATTAATTAGTTTTTTAAAAAAGATTACATATGATATGATTATATTTACATGAAATTCCAGGAAAAATACCGTAGCAACAGAAAGCAAATCAGTGGTTTCCAAGGGCCTGGCAAAGGGGCACAAAAGAACTCTTGGGGGTGATGGGCATGTGCTATACCTTAATAATAATGGTAGTTATATGGCTGCCTATCTCAAAAGCCATTAAATTGTAGACTTGAAATTGAGGGGTTTGTTGAATGTAAATTATATCTGAATAAGGTTTATTTTTTTAAATGATTAAAAAGGAAATACAAAAGAAAATTAAGACATTAAATCAGAGGTTCATTGTCTTCAGAGGATATTCATAGTAGGATTCCTAAAATGAAAGAACAAAGAAACAGAAGGGGGGGAAAAATCAAAGAAATAACATAAAACAACTTCCAGAACTGAAAAATATGGGTACTGAATGCTTAGCATAAAAAATGAAAAAAATGCCTAAATCAATGTGCCTCTATGTTAAATTTCAGAATATCAGAATAAAGGGAGGGTCCTAAAAGCTTTTGGGAAAGGGAGGGTGGGGAAGTTACACACATAGAAGCAGGAATGAGAATGGCTTAGCACTCTTCACACTGGGATTAGGAGATAGAAGACAAATGAAAAAATGTTATTTCCAACATGTAATGCTATATCATTTTTACCAATTAAGCATGAGAATAGAATAAAGGCAGTTCCAAACATTTAAGACACGAAAAGTTCCTCCATGCATTCTTCCTTATAAACCATCAGAAAATTCGTTCCATCAAAACTGAGGCCTAAACTAATAGTAAGATACGGGTTTCGGAAACAGGACATCCAATACCGAGAAGGAAACGAGATTCCCAGGATACTGCGGAAGGAAAACTTCAAGCTGATGGCTGTGCAGCAGGCCTGGAGATCAAACAGTCCGCTTTGGATGAGAAGGGGTCCGGTGAGGTGGGAGGGGGCTTTATGAAGAATGTCTCCAAGACAACTAATGTCCCCAAGGGAAAAAAAAATGGTCCAATGGAAGAACTGATACGCACGCACTTCTATGATGATAGGGATTTTCCACCGTGGAAAAGGGTTTGGTAATGTATGAGCAGTGGTCAGGTTTAAAGTTCAGGGAAAACAAAGAATAGTTCAAGAAAGGAAATATAGTCCGAATACACTAAGAGGCTCATTTCAGGAATAATATTCGCATGGTAATTAAAATAAAAATTCAGAATAGTGTTTGTTTTTTTAATTATAACATTATTGGGAGGAACAGAGACAGGAAGTAGAAAGTGGGAGGTGGAGGATATCAACAGACAGACAAAATCTAAAATTGAAAAAATACCAGTATCTTAGACATACATAAACAGAAGAAAGAGCTAAAAGTTTTAAAGATAAATGCCTCTGTGGAGTGGAAATTATATGTAAAGGGTCAGAACGTGGTCTACGTTTTTTTTATTTTGAGCCTTGTACTTCTACCTGATTTTTAAAAACTATGTATACATGTATAATTTTAATTAAAAAATTAAAATGCAAGGGGAAGGATTTGTCATCCAAAGAAGTAAAACTTATGAGCCGGACCACCTGCCAGTGCAGGCCCACCCCTGGCGCTAGTTCCTTTCGCCCGTTAGAAACCAGCGGGCGCGGCTGCATGCGGTGCCTGCAGCGTCTGCAATTAGGCAGTCACTGTGGATGGACCCCATTCCCACCCCACTCAAGGCCACTCAAGGTTTAAGTCAGTTCCATCAAGACATTCCACATTCTTCGTATCAGTCAACTTAAGCCCATCTGTTGACCCCCGTCAAGGTCTACATTATAATTACGCCTGGTGGGCTGCCAATCAAGCCACCTTCCCTGTGAACCTCCAGAAGGAAGAGAGCACCACCCTGAACCCCCATAAGGCCATCCTATACCATAACCTCTGGAAGGGTGAGAGGGGGAGCGTACGTTCTGCGAAACGCAGGAGAGTTCAGCGTGCACGCTGGTGCCTACGAATGGGTGAATAGGGCCAAAGTAAGGAAAGGCACAAAACAACAAAACTAGGGCTTCCCGTTGGCCCAAGTCATTCTTCGCGTAATTACTTTACCTTTTTGACTGAGAATTTCCACTGTCTAATCGTCCTGGGTTTACATGTGTCTGTAAAAGAGTTCCCGATATCATACAAATGATGTGGAACTGGGGCTCCAGATCAAGACGGCAGAGCGGGAAGATCCTGCGCTCCCCCTGCTCGCACAGACACACCAAAACTAAAGCTACACACAGAGCGATTATCTCTGAGAAAGACCTGGAGGCTAGGGGGACAGGTGTTCGACAGCGAAGGGTATAAATAAGAAAAGGCCACTTCAAGACAGGTGGGAGGGGCAGAGATGCGGTCTAGTCAGAACCCACCCCCCAGCCCACGTGTGGCGACCCTCAAGTGTGAGGGACGTCACAGCCGTGGAGGTCCCCCCGGGGAGCAAGGGGTCCAAGCCCGGGTCGAGCTCCCGAGCCCAGGGAAACCGCCCCAGGAAACAGGCCCTCCCCACGCCTGGTTTTTAACAGCAGAGCTGACACCCAGGAGAAGCCAGGCTCTGCTCTTGCGGCGCTGGTCCAGGTCCCGGCACCGAGGAGGCAGCTTGAAAAGCGCTGGGCCCCGCACGGAGAGCCCCTGATGGAAGCTGCCTTCAGGGGGGCCGGATGTGGCGCACCGCCTCCGGGGGCCGCAAAACGTACCCGGTGCTTCGGGCCAAGCTCTGGGCCTCGAGCCTCAGCCACTCTCGCCAGAGCCTCTCCGCCATCTCACCGAGGCAGCTCCGCACGAGGCCCCATTTTACGGATGAGGAAACCGACAAATCGAGCGCCGCCCGCACGGACCCCGGCGTCAACACCCCAGTCTAAACCTTGAAAACGGGACACGGGTTGCGTATCACTGAAAGGTGAAGAGGTAAGACGTCTGACAGCTTCATGTGAGAGCGACCCCTACCCGCCGGGCCAACAGCTCGCTAACTGAGCTTCCGCTCGACGTAGGGGTCCGTCTGCTCTTTGCTCCCACTCTCCCCAGGCTTTCCTTGGCGCCGGCTCCGAGGAGTCTTGACAGCCGGCGTTCCCCGTCATAGCCCCTCCATTTGCGAACTTAGACTCCTTGCTAACAGTGCCTTTCCTTTCATTCCGAACACTTCTATACCTCCGGGCTTTAGGACCTGGGGCTGCCTGCACAACTGGGTCCTCAGCTCTTCGAAGCAGCAGCAAACAGCCCCCGGACTGCCCCCCCCCCCCCCGCCCGTCCGCCCGCCCCGGGCCTGAGGCGCTAAAGGTGCTCCCGCGAGCCCGGGAAGCCTCCCCCCGAGGGGGTCTTAGCTCCCGGCCGCACGGGGCACAGCTGCCATCTGGTGGGCGCAAGCGGGAACTGCATCAGCCCGCCCTGGGGACATTCCCCTGAACGCAGCAGGCTAGCGCCCCTTCCTCTGCCGCAAGCACTTATCTCGAAGGCGGGCAGATCTGGGCAATATTCTTAAATTTCCTCTAATGTCTCATTTGGTCTTCTAAATTTCACAGCCTTTCAAGGTTTTTTTTTAATGTAAGCCTTGTGGAAAAAAAAATCCTTTGAATGTTTAAAAGAAAAAAATCATTTTCACGTTCTTTTAAAGATGATTGGAATATTGCTTCAAAAAATATAAGAAACTTAGTTCTGTCCCTCAGCATCTTTACATATCTTTCTACATGTATGGATTCGAAGTTAATAAAGAAAGAGCGCTCAAAAGCACTTCTTATCCATTCAACACACATTTACGCGGTGCTTACCACGTCCCAAGTAATATGCTAGATCTGGGATATCAACATGAGTAAGACCTGGTTCCAAAGCTCAGACAGAATTCAATGCCTCCGAACATGTTCATTTTAGACAAGTACATTACACAGTCGTGCATTACCCATTCATTTCTGTCACTCCCAATTTCTTCTTCCCAATATCGTCTGGGTCTCCTAGGACATCATTTGATGTAGTATTACTAAAAACCATATGCTACATGCCACATTTTCCTAAAAACTCCTCGTTGTTGTGAGTGATTCCCCCAATCTCCTTGATACATCTAAATATCACTCCTTCCAAATTAAAAAGAAAAATAATTTCCTTGTCTCTCT